AGTTAGAGCTTCACCTCTGTCAGCTGCTCCAGGGAGTTGCTGTATGTGGGCTGGGTGTACACAAAGACAGGACGTGCCAACCCATCACCCGATGATGCCAAACGCATCCCCTCCTTTATACGGTTCCGGACAAACTTCCGTCCGGAGTCCGAGGAACGCAGCACAGGGGCCATGTAGATGGAGGGGAAGAGGGCGGTGCTCTCAGTCCACAACCACTTCAGCTGCTCGTTGCGGGCCACCTCCACGTCAGGACAGCGGCCCGTGTAGTTCTCCAGAGTGCGCCTGTAGTCGTGATTGTAGCAGTCAGGGAACAGGTAGAACCCCCACAGCTGGTTGGGCCTCAGGCTCTTGGCGTGCCTCAGGGTTTCCAGCATGAACTTCCTGGCAGACATCTCAAATTCCTGCTGGGCCACTTTGCTCACCTGTTCTGGAGGCCATGTTGGGTTCTTCTGACGCACCAACTCACGAGAATGTCTGCGGTAAACATCTTTTGTTTCCCAGTTACGTATCCAGAGTGGGCGCCAGGCCTCCCAATCAATAACTGCCAGGCCCTTGGCCCCAGGTTCCCGTATATACTTCTGCACTCCCTCAGGCATCTTCTCCAGGTGCTGAGTGAGACTGGCCACCTGCGGCAGCCCCCCATTCACCGCTGTTTCATCTGATTTGAAGTATGGGTACGAGCCCAAGCGATCTTCATAGAAGATGGTGAGGTTCTGCCGAACAAAGCCCTCATTGGGTGAGGCCACGATTTGGAATTTATCCAACTGAAAGTGTATACCATGCCTCGGGCCACAGTCCTCAGTCGGGGCATTCCAAGCGAGGAGCAAAGGCTTTTTAGAATACAGTGGCCATCTCGTGGGCTTCAGTCCCAAAGCACAAAGGCAGTCCCATAGCAGCACAGTCAGAAGCAGCACTTTCCAGTCAGACAAAGTCCAGTACAACATGTCTTCAGATGGGAATTGACAGATAGGACTGTCGCTTTCTGCTCTACAAATCACAGAGGAGAAAGATGTTTAGTTGTTATTATTATTATTGTTATTATTTAAATCAGTGGCAGTCCTCAGTACATTCCTTTATTAGGTTAGTAATTCAAAAGGTTATATAAAGCATTTTTTTTATAGGACTGTTTAAAATTTAGAGCCAGAAATTATAATGAACCGGCAAAAAGTCACAGAAGGAATTACATTTTGTTTACTTCTCTAATAAATGCAACAATTCCCTGCTTATTAATGTATAGTTATCAGTTGGCTAATGCTTATAAATTAAAAACCTGAAAGTACAGTGATGTTTTACTGTTATTGTGCATCATAGTATAATAAATGCTATTAAAAAAACAAAGCCAAAATAAATAATGATAAAAAAATCAAAATAATGTCCCATAGTTTTTTGTGCAGATTCCTAAAGTCTCCCAAAAAGTTATTATTCTGTAGTGAACATCAACTAGCTTAAATTATGTTGGCATTTTGAGCATTTTCTAAGCAATGAATGACGTGAAGTCAACAACAAAGTAAAGTCTCACTGCAGCGGGACACACTTACCTTTACAGGCAGGCTGAGGAAGCATTCCCAAAAAAACAGAAGCCTGCTACTTCAAGCCGCTACTTTTCTATGTTGTAGGAAAAGTTATTTTGCATTGCTTTTGAGGAATAAAAAGACGACGGGGTGAAGTTACAACAGCACGCGTTGCTGGTCGGTGTCCCACAACTTGTGCTGGTCGGTAAAGTGAAGTTGCCCCCTGCGATGTTGTCAGTTGCTACTCTGCGAGCAAAACCACTTTTAGGATGTACCATTCATGTCGCAAAAAGGGGGCGAAATGCAAAACCAAACCGGACATCCCAACAACTCCGTCCGCGTGTCTCATGCAGCGACGTGTTTCTTTACCACAAGCCTACACATACATTTAGGGATGAGATTAGTGACCGTAGGATGTAGTTTGATGGCGATTTTAAAGATATTTCCTGTATCCGAGAATGAATTAGTCCAAGAAGTTAGCCTCCTCCGCCGTGAAACAGATACACTGAGCAATGTCAAGACTCTGAGGTCGCAGGGGGCCAGTTTGCCACATCCCTAAAAATAAGATCATGCCCACAAATGACCACTGTATTCCCGTGACCTTTCAGCTATATTACAATTAGATATAGCTTATGAATAGTATGGCATGTAAAGTATAGGAAGACTTTATTCCAAATTGACGTGAATTTTGGCCATTAAAACAACTGAAAACTAGCTTTAATTCACCCACTTTCAACCAGTAAGAAGAGCACACAACTCCAAAATAGCTTTAAAATAAAATATACATTCTTATTATAGCTGAAAGTGTATTTGTGTATGAATCCATTGTGTAGATTATGAACATTATTTAAAAACAAACATTGTTTTAAAGACCTTGGAACCTGAGCCCAAAACAATCTGATGCGTGAATAAAATTCAAAAATAGTTTTTAGTTTAAGTTTAAGTCGGATTTTGGGGATTTAAGTTGCAACAACACACAAATCATCACAAGTTTACGTTGAAAAAGAGTATTAAGCAGAACTTGTTGATTAATTAACATGTAGACAGTACGTTTTATAATTGTACTAGGCAATGTCTATTAATATGAATGAATGTACTTCCTGAAATTACACCACAACACACACATTATTGCATCAGTCACTTGTCAGTATGAGCTGAGTCCTTTTCAGAAAAGTCAAAAATAAACATTCTGAATACAGCTTTTGTTAATTTACATCAAATACTTCTGCTTCTTTGCTTTGTGAGTGAAGTGGCTTTAATGTTTTTTCCACTAATGTTCCCAGCAGCACACTTCAGACAGTGGGCACAAGGCTTCTGGCATGCAGATGTTTCTGTTGCCAAAGGCATGTGATGACAGCCACTGGCAAAGGTTCAGTGAGAAAAACCAAGTATCACATGCCAACTCGTTGCCAAGTACAGCTGATAGGACGGTGCAGAGCCCGGGGTAAGACCTGAGGCACGATGGCTATGGGAGAAAGAGGCCTCGCACTGACACATAATTAACCAAATGTAACCACCTGTTTTCATACTACTGTGTTGTCAAGTGTTTCTTTCAATAACGTTTTGTTCCTCTCTGAGTTGTTCTTTGCAGAGACACATGAACTGAAGGATCCCTGAGCACATGATGGGGTGAGGTAAGGGCCTGGAAGTGAGATGTTTTCCTGTGCTCGAGTCAGTTCCGCTGTTTGTTTTCCAAGCTTTGCTGACTAATTTCACCATGTCATCAGTTTCTGTGTGTTTAGGGAAAGTGCAGCATGAACGACCCATGTGAAGGAACAAAGGAATGGCTCCGTTTCCCTCCAGTCTCAGCTTGCCTTTGACCTCTGCCTCCTGAGCGTTACATCAGCAGAAGTCAGGGACCGCCAGGAAGCAAAAACAATGGCAGGGAAACTCGAAGCACGCCCTGCCACCTTCGCAGCAATAGTGACTTGTTTAAGAGGGATGGAAGAACTTCATTGGGACAATTTGGTTTGACCTCAATACAAGTTTACTAGTTTACTTTCCCTTGTGTACTTGTACACCTAAACCTCCATTCATGTGGATTACCATTTCGTTTAGATACACAGAAAGTCACCAAACTTTTTTTTAGAGTACTCTTTCAGTTCAATCCACTGTGTTTGATCCCTCTCAGTTGCATGATCCAACTGTGAATCGAGAAAAAACAGGCTACACAAAGCACTGCTGTTTTACTTTAAATAGATTGAATATGTTAAGTGATCCCTGAGAAAAATGTATCTCACTTGTTTATAATTCAAGGCATGTTTAGTTATTTTTAAAGGCTGCTGATCATTTATAATCATTATCTCTCTAAACCAAAGCCACATGGACAAGTTATCCCTTTCATAAAACACACTGTATCCGAGAACACATTGTATGGATCAACAGAGCTGGACAGTGTCACATTCATAAAGTTCATACATTTTAAAGTCTTTACAAGAAGGGGCTCATCCTCATAATACAAGCCGGACTTTAAGCAACACATCAAAGACCACTGGAGGGGAAACACATCAAAGTGACTGACCTCTGGCCCAAAAACACACCCAACCACATTCCACACAATTACAGACACCAGGGAATGCATGCGAAGGAAACCCTACCCAGTTATTGTGGGGATTTGTCTGCTATGCGTGGAAATATGTTTACATTGCTATTAAAATTTGATATTGCGCCAGCTGGCAACAACAGCCTCAACTGGTTTGAGTTAAAAACCTTTAATTATATCTTCAGCCTTTTCGGGAAGTCTAACTGCACAGCAATATCATTAGAGGCAAGAGAGTAAACTTATATGACACAACAAACATATTCAGCAGGAACTCATTTTTGTCAGTACAGGTAAAGATTTCTGCTGCCATCTAGAGTTGGCACATCTTACATGCTACTTAAGTGTAAACTAATTATATTACAAGGTTATATCTCCATATTTGCATAACAAGTAGGCAAAAAAAAAGTGCCTTAGTTGCAAACAGCCGCTTTACAGCTCAGTAAGCACCGACATTTAAAAAGGCAATGAGTAAAAGCTAAAAATAAGTTAGGAGAGATCAGGGTTATACTTACAGCTGTCATGGAAGTGTATGAATAGCCTACTACATTTTTTAATGTGACCACTTGATTGAATGCAATTTTAACTTGTTCATTCACTTTTAGTAAACAAAAATTATTGTACCGAGTACATCATTAGTTTTTCATCATAAAACTGAGCGTTGTTTCTATAGGTAGATAATGACAAGTACAATGGATGACAAGGGGTAGTTTTTGTAATACTGTTTTTGCTGTGAGTTAGATAAGAATCAATACCACTTGAAACAACTCGGCTAAATCCCAGAATGTTGAGATATCTTCTACCCCCTTCTCTCTACCAGACTCACTTTTTATCTCAAGTAAGAAGTTAATGAAACCATGAGGTCAAATGTTGTTTTGTGTAGTTGGACATATCTCAATAATACAATTAGGCCATGACAAACATGATAGAAAGCATATTGACTCCAGATATTCCGCTCAGTAAACCATTTATTCAAGTAATTCCAACTAAGAAATCTGATATTATTTACAGTACATTATGTTCACTAGTGCAGGTCTGAGCTCCGGTTACTGAGACAGACTCAGACATGACAATACAGAACATGACCATATATACAATACATTTCACAATCCTTAATTATTCTACCCTGTAACTACATCCTCAGTCTTTCTGTCACACACATTCCCTCAAACAAACCTAAGTGCACACATGTACACGTACAAAGACACTCACTCTACGTCCCACAGAAGGCATAAAACGTTAAAGCCTTTTCAAATCGAGGATGTTATTCCCTGCAAAGAACTCACAAGAAAAATACAGCTCCATTTGATGTATTGTATAGACTGCCTACATATCAGCTGGGTAGTGGACACACAACCTGTACCAACACTACTTTAGTGGATATCAAAATATTGATTTTGTGAACAGGGCACCATCTGATCTTAGTTGAATAAAAATGTATGACATTTCATTCAATATATCAGTTGGATTTTTCATTTTTCTCTCCAGAGACAACTCGTCTTGAGTGTAATGCTTGAACACTGGGACCAGACTTTGCTCCAAATAGAGAACCTGTGGCTGCACTTCATAGTAGATCAGTCCTGTGCAACTTCACACCTCACAGATGATGATGGGGAAATCTACATGAATACATGGGTGGTCCAGCTTCACCATTCCCTAAAAAATAAAGATAGGACATTCATATTGACAAATCGTTTGAAACATCTTTAACCAGACCATCATTTGTCAAAATGTGGCTTTATCTCACCTGTGGAATCAGATTTTTCTGGATCCTCTTCAACTTGGACTTTTTCCTGCCATTTTTTGTCACAACCGTCTCTTCATAGAATTCATGGGCAAGGTCACCGTCTTCGTCGTAGTACAAAGAACTGCCAACACAGCAAGTACAGATCAGTGTCAAACAGCAAGGGGGAACTTGTCAAGTTAATGTGTAAAAAAACTAAAATACTTTCACTTAAAACCAGTGGCATCCGGCCAAATTTATTGTGCAGATCTTGAGATTCCTACCCCCACTTCCTACTGCTGACTTATGCACCATTTCTTGCTGATACTATGCACTTCCATTTTTTTAAAGACCAGTGGGTAAGATTTAGGGGCATGTATAAACAGAAAAGACAACATAAGCATTCATAACTATGTTTTCATTGGTTTACAATCGCCTGAAACTAAGAATTGTTGTTGTCTCGTTACTTTAGAGCGGTGTCTATAATGTTCCACTGCCATGTTTCTACAGTAGCCCAAAAAACAATAAACCAAACTCTGGCTCAAGAGAGGCTTTTGCCCTTTTTTTTTACTCAGAGAATCTGGTTTACAAGGGTGGTGAGTGTTTTAGTTAGTTGCAATCAGCAACCTTGTTGCTATATGCCACTTAATCCATACACTGGACCTTTAACTATTGATCTTATTTTTAACAGGTTTATTGAGCTCTGCCATCTACTCCCTGTAATTGCCTCACTGTGGAGGAATTAGGCTAAAACAATTAACTACCTACTTCTGAAGCACAATATAACCCACATGCTTCAGTGTGGTCTTAATTCCTTTATTTGGATGAACCAACCATTATCCAATTATTTGTATTTACCTCCTCCTGGTGAAAACAAACGGGGTTGCATTTCTGGAAGCTTTGAGGCGGGTCACAGACTGCTCGGTCCCATCACTGGCTGCCTCCCCTCCAGCTCCATTGCCTGAGAAAGGCCAGACACCTTTGGCTTTGGATCCACTTCCTCCCATTCTCAATGATAAGACATACTTAGTTACCAGTTAAAGCTTTCAATCTGGTTGGTGGCCAGAAGCTCTCAATTCCTTACCAAAGCCAGGATCTGAAAATAAAAAGTGCACATTGATAGAACACATTCCCAGGCAGACTTGACTCTCTCTCCCTGGTGTTGTTTGACGACTTCTTGTGTAGCTCAGCTGCCTACTGTAAAGCACTAAGAGACAGTGAACTAGCATGATATTTGTAGATTAATAGCTGTAATATACAACATGTAACGCAGTAAATACAATTGCTATTTTTACCCTGAAGAAGAAGCCAGTTCAATTCAGAGGCACAATTGAATCAAAGATGATGACACTGTTCCTAATATTACTACGACGAAAGTACTACACAAAACATAAGCAGAGCGTCGAGGAAATGTAACGCTAACGTGATATTGTTACGTTCTGCTAGTTTTACGTGAAGCTAACACTGGGCCATACGACTACTGAACCATAATCCCAAACGGTCAATTATTCATGTTTGTTATATTGCCACATTGACGTATAAACTTTACCGCTATTGTAGATATAATGCACAGTATATGTCTTGATATACGATCAGTGTGGCTAATATTGTGTATAGCTAACTGTAGCTTAGGTTACCCGTTTGTTTAGGTGACTTAGCCTGTTAGCCTGTGCCACTGACGCAGGTTTGCTAAATGATAAATAGCTAGACGGAGCAGCGATGTTTATTAGACAAACACAGCGATTTATCTGCCCTACACAACCAAACACGATTCGTTTTCAATGTCATTCTTTTCTTCAATATCCTACCTTATCGTGTGGTATTAAATCGCCATGTTCTTTCATAATGTTCCCCACCGGCTACGTTGAGCTAGCGTTAGCTGTTTAGGTCGATGAGGAGATCAGCTGATCTGACAGACGGCAGTGAGACCCTTAAAGCGAAGCGTCATTATAAATGTAGTGATGTTATTCTAAATAGTGATCGGATTAAAATTAATTTAAATCTATTTCTACATTTTGAACAGTGTTCAGTTAAGGGACGTTAAATGTGGCACATCATTTCTAGATCTGCACAGCTTTCCACTTTGAATATAGTATTTGTCATATTTTACTAAACTCAGTTTCTTACCCTTTAAATATTTTGTGTCAATATTGTCATTCTTTTTAAATAGTCTTTAAAATAGCTTTTATAACAGAACTATTTTGTTCTCCTTTCTTTTTTTCATTTAATATTTGATTAAATACAAAAACTTGTTTTAACTTGGAAATTCTTTACTGAACGCAGATTGGTCACTACATTTATATTTGTTGCTTCAACATGTAAATATGTGCATAGGCGGATACAATAATAGTGAAAGAAAAAATAGAAGACAAACATTTTCTAGAAGGACAGAAAAAAAGCAAAGACATAGGGAATGACAAACCAGTGAAACACATGTATACCAATGTTCATACAGGATTCCAGTCAACCAGAGTGACACCACTGACATTCATAGTTTCATACAAATGTCCATACATCAGTCAAACTCACAATTTGACATTAAAATAAAAAATAGAGTTGCACCCATCAGGGGTGTCGAGAGGACATGGCAGATTATTGAGCCTGGGTCAAATGAAAATCCAGATACCTTTCAGCAAAAAATTGTATTTACCTCTTTAACTGGATAAATTAAAAATGTCACAATGGATGTTAAGAAGTATGATTGTTTAAGGAGCTGCTTGAGTTTATCTTAACTTAAAATAATGATGTTACCAATTTTATATTCTGGAAAAATAAAAAGGAATGTAACTTCCAGATGCGGGATTATCAGATCAATTACAGCAGAGTTCTTGACTTCAGCACTGCACCTACAAATGTATAATCAACAGATTTTTCTACCTACAAATGACTGAAACTTCATTGACATTTTCTTTAAAGTTTAAGTGACACAGCTGAGGTACACTGGATAATCAGATTTTCCCCAATAGCAAAAGACATGACTGGAAACAACCACTGTCTCATCTGCCAATATCGACTTCTCTCAACTCATTCTCTCAGGCACATCAGGCACATCAGGCTCTCCAGGTGTAAGGCACTTCTCATCTCTCGCATCACTTCACACGCACATTCGCGCTAGCTCTCTCTCAGTCTTGCGCCCTGTCTCACTCTCTCGTTCACCCAAGAGGTGTGTTGAGTTGTATTATCTGGGATCTTTGGATGCAGCGATGACTGGTCATCTTTAGGCCAGCCAAGTGGTGCATGTTAAACCCCGAGCGCAGAGTCGCCTCAACCGGGAGTCGAACCAGCCAGAGCGTCCTGCATCTTAGTGCGGGCCAGAGCGTATCGCTGCACTATCTGCTTCACGTGCTCCTCCTCTTCGCGCCGCAGCATACGCTGGAAGTTCTTCAACTCAGGCATAGAGAAGGCATGCCACTGTAAAGAGAGACACGATGCATTAGTGCGAGTACAGTTTTTAAACTAACCACACTGGTTGAATCCCTTTTTACAAGTTCAGATTATTTAACAAAAATACAATAATTACACCCCACCCCAAGATGTTTTAAGATCCATGGGGCTCTGATGTTACACTCACATTGACTTCTCCAGTTTCATTTTCTTTCAGAACATAGCTGAGGACTTTCTCATTGGGCCCAGCACACAGACGCAGGCGGAGGGGACACTCATTGTCAGACACCTTGCGAATATAAACTGAAAGAGGCAGATCAAAGGGCTACATTTACTAGACAGCGTACCATTTTTGATTTACAATAATTAAATACTGCAGGATTTCAATAGGTAACCCTTTTGAAAACAGCAGAAGTACCTTGGTCATGGCGCTCGCTGCGTTCAAACAGGGCAAACTTGCCAGGATGGTCAACCACAGTAAACTTTTTCAACAAAGCCTCGATGACCTCCCGAGCAGAAGTGCGTGAGCTAATGTGCAGGTGCTTGGAAGCATCCTTTGGCAGGTAGAACGACGTGCGGCGTTTCACCCCACTAGCCTTCCTCGCTCCAGCATCGGAACCCCCTTTCTTTGGAGGTGTAACTGACACAGGTCGCGCCAACTTGAACTGCACCTTTATGAAGCCCGTGTAGGAACCATCCTTGTTCTGTTAAGAAAAATGAAAATGTTACACTAAAGAAAAAACCCATTTAGAGTGAAATTCATTGATATGCTGTGTCTCAACGCCCCTTACCATGTTCATGAACAGATTGCTGTTGATTTGAGCGTTGTATTCCTTCACCTTCTGCTGAAAATCTGTAGTCGTCAATTCTTGCTTTCCCCATTCAATCTGTTCATCCTGGAGAGGACAGTGAGGAGTTACAGTGTTAAACCACCAGGTGTCAGTGCTGACCATCCAAACCACAACAGGACAGAGGAAAGACTCCAGCGTTACACAATACACGTGAACAGAAATGGACACTTAAAATGGCCATTGCACAACTGTTAAATAAAAAATGTGATGCCCTTTAAAAATTTGAGAAATTACTGATAACTTACACAAGTGTTAACTTAAGTGTTGCTGGCCATTGTTAACATTGAAAAACTCTCTTTACAACATGCTACTGTTGCATAAAAAATTGTATGTTTGTATCCAGGAATTGTGAATGGTGTTCTTGTTACATGAAGCCAGGGCAGGTTATACAAGGTTAGAAGGTGTGGCTCTATTATGTGAAAGCAAAATGGGTGTGATCCAAATTCGGTTTAAGACAAGTTGTTCTATCCAAAATGTGGCTGAACGTTGTTTTGAAGGGGAATAAAAACAGACACACTTTAGTAAAAGGTGTTCATTGACTTTGTCAGGTCCCCGTTATTTCTAAGAGGGAACACCAGTTGCATCAGACTCTCAACTTCCTGTCAACGTAGCAAAGGCAAAAACGATGATGTCAGCTCTGCTCAATCCTGTTGGACTGCTCCAATTCGTTGGTCTATAGGGCTGGAGAAAGGAGGGGTAGGTTCAACTTGCAGCTGTTTGCAATGTCTGTGAACAACGGTTCAGCATTGCATTCCTCGACTTGGTATTCATGTAAAAATAGCCTCCACTCTCCGACTCACACAAGGGGGAGAGACAAAGCCCTCCCTTGTTTTAAAGGCACATCCTGTGAAGTCAGCTGCCTCATCAACCGCACAATTGCAGTCATGTTTCAGTCATGCACATTTGGCCTTAGCATACATGACCGTTGTACTGACCAATTGGTATTTCCTGTGTGGGAGGGAAATTCTACAGAATTGATGCAACACACATTAATTTTCCATAATGTACTCATTGCACTAAAATAATCATTTATGTATAAATGTGGAATTTGTTTTTACAAAACAAATAGTGAAAATGTATCTCAGGCCACCCTGCGCCCCATCTCATTTTGTGACCCAGGATTGTCTAATGTAAAACCAACCACAGTTGCAAGCTGTTACAGGGATGGGTAGCTTTTAAATCAACGTCAAGTAGAAAAAGATCAATAGGAGCAATCCTTAGGCAGATTGAAAGGCTGTGGAGTTAATATACTGCTGTTAACAAGTCAATAAATCAATTAGGGCCATGTTGAACCTTCCAATATGGTAACAGTAGGAGGAAAAGCACGCACAAACTGTCTCTACATGCCCACGAAAGGAGTGTCATCTCAAAACAAGAGTTGTCAGTGCCAACAACATTAAAACAAAAATGGCTTCTGTACAGACAGAACATTGTGAATGTCACTGAGTTTTGCAATAAACAACATCTGTTCCTCAATAAAGAAAGCTGATAGTGGGTGCGGGGGACAACATTCCAAAACAACACATGACTCATATGCAGTTGAGAAATAAGTATGAAAAACCTGAATAGTCAATGAATGGTGGGTATCAGGCTGGAAACTTGAGTAGCCGGTCTGCGTCACTAAACATGACATTTGGGTTGTTCTCAGTATGAGTTCAAATGTGGGTCTGTGCATCACAGAACCAAATGCAATAATTGTTGTTGTTTTTTTGGGCATGTTAAGCCTAAAACAGCAACTTATTTTTCCTTATTCCCAGTGCTGACATTTATTATAGGTTCCCACAATACAAGGCTTTCTCAAAACTGGAGAAACCAGAACTCCACCCTAGGCAAGCATCAGTCTGCTGGGGTGCCCTTTAGCAAAACAAAGTCGCAGATTTGACCCATAAAAGTATGAGAACAGTTATACATTTAAAATAAACAAAAATAGCTAGAAATAGAGAAGCAATATAAAATAACGCGAGAGTAGATATGGAGAACCACCCATCACCCATCCCTTTGGTCTCACTTCCCCTTTAACATTAAGAGTTTTTATTCAAGCCTAAACCTTTTTTTCTTGTCGAATTGTTGTCTATTTCTCACCTGCTTTACTTTAGCAGTAACGTTAGCTTTCCGGGTATTGGGGAAGAAGGATGTCTTGGCGGTGAAGTACTGCTCAAACTCGGAGTTGGGCTCCTCGTCGCTGCAGTAGCCACTGCTGGTGGAGCTGCCCCAGGTCATCTCGAAGGAGGGGGACTTTTCTGTGTCGCTGGCCGCGTTTGACATGCTGACTACCGGTACAAACTTTAACACTAGAGGCAATGACAGGAAGATACGACGACTTAAAGGTGGTTAATTAAATAACTTTGGTCGCAGTAAGCTTAATACAAAACCTTTGCTGAACAGTAGTCTGGCTGAAACAACGGCAAAGAACCAACTAACGAAAACCGTCCACACTAATCTCTCGGAGGAGGAAATCTCTCTGTAGCGTCTTGATAACAACAGTCAACTCGAAAAAAAATATCGACTTTTGTTTAACTCTTACTTCAACCGGGCCACGTTTCCACTGTACAAACCCTGTCTGTGTGAAACAGGATGTGTATTCAGGCCCCCGCCCAACATGCCTCGCTTCCTTCCCCCCCGCCGAAGCCCCACCCAACCAGGGCCGTTCAGTTGAGATTGGAAAATACACAAAATCCCCACAGCCGGTCGCGATTGGCCGGCCATGGGAAATGGAAATGCCACCCGCACCCCCCTCTGTTTGCCGCTTCCC